CAAAAGTATATAGACAAATATGAATATTTACCTAAATACCTTTAGAAAACGAAGTCATACTTCATTGCTCCATAAACAAATGCGTTATTAGTAGAAAAACTTAATTTCTTGTTATTTCATTATCTGCAATGACCACAATACAAGTCTGAATATAAGCACTTTTTTATGAGGGAGAAAAATATGTAGACAAATTCTTTTCAACATCAGTTTAGTACAGTTTCGGGTCAGAAGAGGATTAGTTTGTGTTCATCAAGTATTGCGGAATAAGTTGGGCGATTTTAAGACCATGCCGCGTGATCCAGAAATTTCTTTCGATGTGAAAACTAAGATCAGTGAGTTATACAAAGACGGTCAACGTCAAGTCGACATTGCCAAAAATTTGAAGCTGAAGCGTAAAGCAGTTTGGGAAATATTGAACAAATATAAACAAAAAGGTATCTTGGAAGCCTCTAAGAGAAGTGGTCGGCCTAGAAAACTAAATGCTAGATCAGTTAGATTAATAAAAGTAATTTGGTCCAAAGATCCGTTTAAAACCCTAAGACGAATAAAAGCCGAAATCGAGACAAAAGGAATGGTCAGTGTTTCTACGAAAACTATAAGTAGAAGATTAAATGATTTGAAGTTATTTGCACGTGGCCCGAGTAAGAAGCCGCTAATCTCGAGGAAAAACCGTAAGGACCGATTACAATTTTCACGGTTGCATCTTGATTGGAGCATCTGTGACTGGAAGAGGGTATGTTTCAGTGACGAATCCAACTTCAATATGTTTGGATCAGATGGTGTTCATTACGTTAGACGTCCTAGTGAACAAAGATTGAACCCCAAGTACACTTTGCCCACTGTCAAACATCGAGGCGGGTCTCTTATGGTTTGGCGGTGCTTTTCGAGGTTTGGGATGGGACCTTTACATAGAATAGATGGCATTATGGATAAGTTTGTATACACAGACATACTAAAGCATGTCATTTTACCCTATATGGAAGACAATATGCCCTTAAGATCAATCTTCCCGCAAAACAATGACCCGAAGCACACTTCAAATCTCGCAAACAAATTCTTTCTGGATGAAAAAATACCAGTTCTCAAATGGCCTTCACAGTCTCCCGATATAAACCCCATTGAAAATCTATGGGAACACTTAGATAAGCAAATACGAGATAAAAATACAATGCGTTTCGAACATAACAACGGAAAATTCCCTATCCGCACATGATGCACGCATACCTGTAACGTGGCAACGTCGCATTATCCGTTCGAACAAACAAAAGTCGTGGAAGCCAGCAGCAGGAATTCGCGCAGCGCAGGTCCGAGAAGGCTGTGACTGTGCGTGCGATGCTGGAAGCTGGACTGTTTGTGGCTTGATCTCTCGATCAAAACAATCCCACGCGCAACGCACACTGCGTCCGGATGATTTGCCAATAATTGCCTTTATGAAAATTACGATAGGCAGCTGTGGAGCGCACTATTTGGTCTTCGAGTTGGACAATGGAAATTGTTCCCATCTGTTTAATGTTACGGGTTAAGGTTCATTGTTTTGACATGTTTGAATCATTGTGGTTCAAAGGTACGACATATACCTATCTATTAGACATTTTGGAAGGCTGAAACATGTTGCGGTACATGTTTCCTGTTAAACAAGCTGCTAACACATGTTCTGATCTTGTGCCTGTAAGTAGCAAAATGATGTCTGAACAAGCTAACCTAAACTTTAGGCCAAAGAAAATTTTATATGAATCTTATTTTTTTAAACTAATTTTTATGGAATTCTTTTTTATTCATCAGAATAAAATCACCCTTTTTGAAAATATTACAAACTATAGCTGAAGGTTAAGTAAGTAATGCTAGTAACAAAATGCATATTTTTTGTTTAAATGCATATTCACTATGGGTATATACGAACAAGATAATTAATAGCAGCAGGCCGTGGAATACAACAAAACAAATACCTAATCAAAACATAAATAATCCTCAAATTGTTAATAGTTGTTACTTTGAGCGATTTTTGTACTTACCAAAAGCGTCTTATGAACGATGAATCTGTTGATATGCTCGCATTCTTGGTTGACCATTCTGTACAATGACTCATAGTATATACCAAACAACTTTATTTCTTACATACCATCACCCATTATCACAAAATTGTTAGTGAACGCGACACATTCAACATAGTCATAATAATACCAGATATAAATTACGCGCAAAAATGTTCCTAAACCCAACAAATCTGTAATGAAACGATCTGGTCTGTATTTAGCTCCAAAATTGTATAAACATTCAGCAAATGACTAAAACAATTACGTAATGTATTAAGCTTCAAAAAATTAAAAAAAGAAATGGATTGACACGCTTGGAACAAACAACATTCATGGAATAATCTCAAATAATACACAGTAAATACTATGATTCTTAATAATAACATAATTAGGTTTTGTTTTTCTTTCATTTTTTGTCTATTGTAATTCAGCATACAATTAATTGATCGATTCGCAGGCATTATCTTTCTATGGATAAATTATATTTATTTACTAATTTTATGTTACATGTATACTTTATCTGAAGTCACTTGAAATAGCATAAAAACCTTTGGTCGGCGCGTCCTTTGTAATTTCATGACGTATCATAGGCGTGCGGTCATTTATTTAGAACGATAATAATAAAGTTTTTATATCACAATAAATGGATTTTACTATCTTCTAATTTTTTTGATTTGGGATAAAAAATACTTATATTGGGAGTTTAATTTAAGTTAAGAAATGGAAAAATTACAGAATTCCAACGTTTGACATAGGCAAATATTTACATAGCAGGTAGATATATAAAAAGGTATATAAAGACTTACATTATAGGTATTTATATATATCATCCTCGCCTTCGGAGCTGTCGCTAGAGTCATCTTGTAGAGGAATTACAACGGGATTTACAGGAGGCAAAACACAATATTCATTTTCTTTTTCAATAATATGCCTAGAACACTGCTTCCATAGGTCTGTGGTAGCAATATGAGATACTGCATCTCTTATTGTGGCCAATAGCGATTCACTTAATTGAGGGGTCTGATTATGTTTTCTTACTTTTTTTTTTTAAAGCAGCCCAGACCAACTCAATCGGGTTAAAAATGCAGTAATAGGGAGGTAGACGTAATACTTCATGGCCATTTTGCTGAAGCAGATTGTCAACAACATACTCTATTTCAAATTTTTGTCTTTTAATAAGATCCAATAATATGGCTTTGGTTGATTTTTGTGGTATTTCCATTCCCTTATCCTTCATAAAATCAATAATGTCTTGTTTTTTTGTGCCTGTATTCGGAATTTTGTTTTTCTGTCGGGAATGGTATGGCGCATTGTCCATAATAATCACTGAATTTGGGGAAATGTTTGGTATTAACTGCTGCTCTATCCACTTTTCAAATAAGTCGGAGGTCATGTCCTCATGATAGTCGGCACATGATTCTTTGATATTTTTGGCAGATAACAGCAAGGCATTAGGTATAAATCCATTTTCACTGCCAGCATGGAGAATAATGATTCGTTTTCCACGGTTGCATGGTGCATTTAAAATGCACTTGTTGCTGTCGTCAACCCAGCCGTACTGCACAACATCATGGGTATCATACCACGTTTCATCCAGGTAAATCAGATTTCTTTTCTGCTCTCTATAGATTTTAACTTTGTGCAAAAATTCTTGGGGCAATTCAACGATTCGAGACGACTCCATAATCACCATTCTTTTATCTAATTTTTTGTATTGAAAACCACACAGTTTTACAATACAGTGCAGTGAGTCTAAGCATTTGTAATTATAAAAATCTTCAGGATAATCTTTTAATTTATCCCGTATCATTTCCAACGTGGGCACCGAATTTTCTTTATAAAATCCGTATATTATACGACGAATATCTTCCTGAAAACCCACGTCTATTCTTTTTAATTTTTGCCCTATGCGCTTTCTGTGGAAGGAATGGTTGACTACATCTCCCCTTTTTATAACCCGATAAATGGTAGAGCGACTGATTTTTGTCAGGATACAAATTCTGTTTAAAATTTGATTTTGCGAGGAATCTGGATTTTCGTTTTTCAGACAATCATACATATTTAGGATTACTCTTTGGGTCTGTTCCTCTAAATCTTTATGAAAGAATTCTGCCTGCACAGGTTCATCAACCATCTCCTCGTGGCTTGGAGCATTTTCCCAAGGTCTCCAAAGAGCCATATTTAGGACACACAAGAACAATCAACACAACAATTAAATCAACAAGTAAACTGAGTATTCAAAAGTCAAAAACACACAAACTAATAAAATCTATGAAAAAACACGGACAGACTAAAGAAAACACGTTTATTCACCGCTACACGGCACTGGCTAAACTGTTTCAATTTTCAGTAGCCACCTGCACTTGTTCGGAGCTCTGAAATACACGCTTTCTCATTGGCTATGTCCACGCATAGGCGTGCTTTACTCCACGTGGACCGGTGAAACTGCCTTTGATCTTATACGGGGGATATTTGCTGCGAAATTTGGCGATTTTTGCAGCAACAGAGCGTGTTAAATATAGATATATAAAACGCACCCGGTATTTCACAGTGTTTCAAGTGACTTCAGGTAAAGTATACTTAATATTAGTAAATATTAATACCTCTGCTTATGATAAGGTCATAAATATTAACGATTATGGTCAGGATATTTCGATGCATCGAAGGGATCTGCTTTGATTTTGTTATGTTAAGTGGCTAGAGAGACGCAAGGCAGATTTGCGCTGCTCCTAAAGTAGGAAATTAATTCTACGTCTATTTTTTTTTTTGACGGCGTCAACTTCTAGTTATTATTGATACTTCCAGTAACTTGAATAGATTTCAATTTATAGCATAAAGAACAAAGACTGTCTAAGTCTAAGTGATTACACAAACCGTATGCATATAGGTATGTGGGTCAGTTGGATTCCCCAGCTAGCTGGTACTTCACACGATCACCAACCGACGCGAAACGAAAAATCCATGAACCTGCAATCGGGGCGCGGTTTGTTATGCATAACTGTCCAACGGGGTCACTCCTCTCCCCTCCCTTGCTGCCCCCATGCCCCCCAATGACGTCCTTATAGTAGTACCGGTTGCTTGTCATATACCTTCCAACGGTCTCAAGAAGTACCGTACGCCGGCTAGCGTCGAGCAGCGCCGCGCGCATATATGGCGTCCTTGTTAACAGTACTGCCATGAAGACCATGGTACTGCTATTCCTATTTCCTGGGTACTGCATTTTAATAATGCCTAATGTGCACGTAAGGTCGATGCGGTACGGCTTCCATGAACAACGAGAAATCGCGGTTGGGCGTACGTATACGGTACGGCTAAGTACTACTTATGGTAGCTTCCTTGTTCTTCGGACGACACGGAAAATACAACGTTTTAGATCGTATTATTCATCTGAGAAGAAAATTACTGGGGAGCTACCAGATAAATTCTTGTACAGTGTTGACATTTCACATTAAATTCGTAGTTTTATGAGAAGACGTACAAAAGCGCGTGGGTTCCTAGTGTTCCAGACAGTTGCCAAAAATTGTGGAGATTTCTGTGTATTTAAATACTGCCTCGCAAAATTAACCGTACAAACAAAATTTTGTTCAAATTAAATTTGAAATAGCTTGTTAACCTTTGCATCAATTTCGTTACTTTTTTCGGCAAGTTGTAGATCATTTCATCGCCATCATTATCGATTGCCGCTCTTGTAAAAAAAAATGAAAATGTTTGTTGTTTTACAGGGTGTAACTAGCAGGTGCATTTTGCCCTAAATTTCTGAACATTGGGTTACTGAATAATGTGCCTTCGTATGAGAATTTTAAGCCTCAGCTTTTCTCAACAGTTCTTTTTTTGATTCACGTCAATATCTCAATTATTGAAGAATATATGCTGTCTATAAGAAAATCATGCGAATCATAGCCATAAACAATTTAATTTAAAAAATGACAAAGATAACATTGGTAAGAAAACTATGCGAATCATAACCATAAACAATGTAACTTAAAAGATTACAGTGACATCATTGGTAATTAGAAATTGTTATCAAAAACGAGTATTTCCTCCCCGGACTATATTATATATATTTTCTCGCACTCGTTTACCAGCGCCAATTACGGCTGTAAATCTTGGCATTTTAAATCGATTTAATAAAAATTTGGATTTTAATATCTAGTAAGTTTACACTGCTAACAATGTCAGCTTAACGTCAAAATAAGTCATAACAAATCAAAACAACTTTTGTTTGCAGTCATGGCTAACTATGTATAATCAACAATTCATTTAAATTCGCAGTACATGTCCTATCATGTGACAAATTTTTTAGTTTGATTTTATTCAAAAATGGCACAATTTATCGATATTTAATAAGAGTACCTTTTTTATGTAGAAAACCCTAAATTTTCAAATTCTAAAATTGAATTTCAAAAATAGAATCACACAAAATTTTTGGGACTAAAATAACCTGAGTCCGTCCCTGTTACATACGCTTCCAATCAAAACAGTCTAAAATTGTTAATATTTTTAAATTCAGCATAAAAAACTAGGTTGGAATACCAAATTTTATGTCTTTATCTCAACACGTTTCGGAAATATTAAGGAAAAGCCATCTTCAGGGGAGCCCCTTTAAAATACCGTAGCGCCCTTAGGGGACGTTTGTCGACCTATGTTTATACAAACTTTTCTTCCTATTTTAAGCTCTAGAAACCGCTGGTAGAATATTGCACACTTTTTTCGGGACACCCTGTATGACTTTGAAGTTGAGTCATTAATTTTCAGATAATGATTGTAGAAGGAAGATAAACCAAAATATGTGCGTAAGAATAAAAAAAAAATTACCTTGTTTTATAAAGTATCCTCCCGACAAGTATTTCAGTGCGGACCTGTATTTGATCGTGAGGTCTTGGAGCACCGGCATGCCGTCCCCTGTGAGGTCTTAAGTCACCTGATTCACGAGCCCGTTGTACTACATTAACAAAGGCACGAGTGGTTGGTTGAACTCGATTGGGAAACCGATCCGCATAAACATGTGCCATTTTTTAATTCGTTTGAGCCACGCAACAGACACCACTATTCACTCACGCGTTACCGACTGACACTGACTGTATACAACTGAATAAAATAATTGTAAAAACATCGTTCCAAATTCTTTCGCTTTTTTGTTTCCGATGCGATGAACCGATAAGGCGGATTATATCCGTTGTTGCCAAACACGAGCACATAATATTATTATTGAGACAGGGCGGTACTCAAACTTCCAAAGGGAACTTTGTTACTTTAATTTTACCAGAAAAATGGTAAAGGAAAAAACATTTCTTTTGATCAGATCTACTCACTGTTAAAATAAATGACTCAACTTCGAAGTATATATATATTTCATTATATCTCCGTATCGGATAAAGATATTGGTCTGTCGTTTTCGCCGTTTTATAGGAGTTTTAATGCTCCTTTTAGACCAATGATAAAAAGTATACCGTTGCATTTGAAATTCTCGAGTGAACTCAAAAAAAAAACAGTGATACATCCATAAGAAGCTATTTAGTGGCCACAAAGTGAACTAGTTGTGGCAAGATTGAGCCTTGAGTAGGAGCGATGGCTCAAGCTCTTTCGAATGAAACCAAGGTTGTGAAAATCGGTGAAGCCAAACAGAAGGCACATTCCTTTCTCTGAAATGACATTCAGCCTTTTCCCCCACCATAGACGGGGACAAAATGACACTGAGAAACAAGTTCGAAAATTGGTCGATCAACATAATAGTACAGTAATTCCGCATTTTGCAAAATAATGGCGTTAGTATTTTTGAAATTGAAAATACGCGCCATTTTATGAAGATGAAAATAATTTCGAAAAATTTCCCTTGACCACTTTTGCTTTACAAGACCCCGAAGAATGTTTTAAGACTAGTTTATTCTAAAGCGATTCATTACTTTGTTGTTACTGACGAACTTTTTATTTCCGCAGACTGTAAATTTCATATAACATCTGAAATACGATGTCTTATTCCAAATTTTTCGATTACACTGCTGCCCAGCCCCGTGGCGCAGGAAATAGAATGGACGAAGACGGGCAAAGATGAATTGAAATGGATTACCAAACTGGCTGCGACTCGTTTTTGGCCTGATTCCTTTATGGCCCTATTATCTTGTGTGCTACTATACGTACCCATCACAATGCAGAATGAAGAATATGTATGTCACAGCCTAGATTGTTCATTACGGCAAGCATGCAAAATGCACTTTCATTTTCCCAGAATCGGCGTCTATGACGCGCTAAGGCATGCTGACATGCCGTACCAAGTACTCGTATATTCAGCCATGAGGGTAAATTTGGCAAGAGTATACAGACCACAAGAAGTAGAGTCACTCGCAGAAAAACCGTTGGTAGACTCGTGTAGTGAGTACTGCGTAGGGGCGTAGATACTACCATATCGTACGCCTTACAGGGGACCTCCACGTACGAAAAAAAATGCGTAGTATTTTTCACAATCTCACACAAGTTCTCAAGCCGTACGTTAAATAAAAAATTCTCAAGCGTATACACCTCAGATTGTATGGCAAGGTGATATATATATATATATATAAGCATCTTTATCGAAATTAAATGTGATTCAAATATGTTAGTACCTCCTTGAGGCAACTTTGACTATCAAGCATGGTAGTGGCTTCAGAGGATGAACATTTGGAAACACTAAAATTGTCTTTCGATATGGATAGTTTAACAAAAAGAATCGTAAAAGATTTTGTCAAGGAAAATGGCTCGGTACGTCCCAAGGATTCACCTATGCATATTTTCATATTTTGTTTGAGTCAAGATAAGCGTTGCTAAAGGAACACATTGTTTGAGCTCCATAATATTTTTGGGTATGCTCTAACTTGAAGCAATAAGAAACGATTTGAGAACAAATTTTCGGAATTTATAAAAATTGTAACCTTCACCTAGACGTTTGGTTACCCTTGTCATTTATATGATTTTAAAAAATGAAGTAGCATTACCTACTATGGCGTCACTTGGATTTACGTGTTGTAGACATGGAAAAACAAAAAAAAAACATTTATCTGATTTTCAAAAATTCTTGCATCGACCCAATACTGATACTCCTCGCTCTTCAAGAAGCTTTGAGAGTAGGTACACTTTTCCAAAAAGTTATCTCTTGTCATGATCTCATGATCCACTCCTTATGGGCGCCCATGGTCAACACGTGACATTTTACATTCTTCCATGCGAACGTTTGCGTTTCTTTTGTAAGAATCACTACAAACTTTCCTCTTTATTTGGGATTCGCCACAATTAGATGGACAGTGGAAACTTAGCGTGCTTCAAGGACGGGGAGATGGTGTGAAACTGGCTTAACTATGGAGTGACCCTACTAATCGTAGTCGATATACTTCAATTTCGCAAGACACGCGAGCGAGGCTCGTAATTGTAAGTACAAATCGTAGACAGACTCAACCTGTTTTTAAGGCCACTCCAGCGATGTTGATGTATGCCTTTCTATTGCATAGAATTAACATTTGGCATATGATCAGAAAATAATGGGCACGAGACCCGCGGAATAACGGTCTCGTCGAAACATACTGTACCATCCATTAATATTGCACAGCTCAAGCATCATAGGATATGAATGGCAGCACTGGTTAGGTATCCACCTAATACAAGCACAAGAAACCAAGGGGCCATTCGTATTGGCTGGTCGAAGTCCAGCTTCGAGAACTGCTCACATATTTGGCGTGCTGTCGCTTTAAGATGAAAAGTTTATATAAGCTTAGGTCCAGAAATTCTTCATTTTCAATATACAGGAGTCAAACTTCTTTTTAAAAATTCTCTTTTTCTTAAATATCTTGATAAACTTTCAGTCGATTTTGTTTAAACTTAGCAGTGTTATTAAGAGCAGTAAGTGGTTAGTTTAGCCCCAATTAGAAAGAAATTATTAACTCCGGTAGCGTCATAGAAAATATCAAAAAACAAAAAAAAAATGAGTGCGCCACTGACTTTTTTGAATTAAGCAGATAAAAATACCTTCCTTCCTTCTAAATTTCGTGTCATTTGCGAGATAAGAAATAAAAAGCACTTTATTGCATTTCCGTGGGACAATAACATAATAAAACATTAAAACCACCAAACTTATGATCTTTTCATCTTAAAGTTACTCAAATAATCAACTCCTGAAGTTTGGCCGCGTACTTGAATAACACCCTGTATAATAAACTGCTTTTCGCATTTCATATAAAGCTTCACCACTTTTGG